CACTTGGCCTTGTTAATCTTCATGAGGTTGGACTGGGCCCATCTCTTAAGCCTGTCAAGGTCCCTCTGGATGACATCCCTTCCCTCCAGCGTGTCAGCCGCACCACATAACTTTGTGTTGTCAGCAAACTTGCTGAGGGTGCACTCGATGCCACTGTCCATGTTGCTGACAAAGATGTTAAATAGTACTGGTCCCAGTACTGATCCCTGAGGGATACCACTTGTCACTGGTCTCCACTTGGACATTGAGCTCTGACTACAACTCTTTGAGCGTGATCTTCCAACCAGTTCCTTATCCACCGAGTGGTCCATCCATCAAATCCACGTCTTTCCAACTTGGAGACCAGGATGTTGTGAGGGACAGTGTCGAAGGCCTTGCACAAGTCCAGGTAGATGACATCAGTTGCTCTTCCCTTATCAATTGGTTCTGTTACTCCATCATAAAAAGCCACCAGATTTGTCAGGCAGGATTTTCCCTTGGTGACATTGTGTTGGTTGCCACCTATCACCTCCACATTTTCCATGTGCCATAACAGAACCTTCAGAAGTATCTCCTCCATGATCTTGCCAGGCACAGAGGTGAGACTGACTGGCCTGTCAGGGTCTTCCCTTTTTCCTTTTTTTGAAAATGCGGGTGATGTTTCCCCTTTTCCCGTCAGTAGGCACTTCATCAGACAGTCATGACCTCTGAAATACAATGGAAAGTGGCCTAGGAACTTCATCTGCCAGTTCCTTCAGGACCCATGGATGGATCTCATCGGGTCCCATGGACTTGTACACCTCCAGGTTCTTTTAATGGTCTTGAACCTGATCTTTACTTACAGTGGGTGGTTTTCCTTCTCCTAGCCCCTGTCTTTGTCTTCTACAACTTGGACAGTGCGGCTGGAGCCCCTGCCGGTGAAGACTGAGACAAACAAGCAATTGAGAACCTCTGCCTCCTCCATAGCCTTCACAACCAGCTCCCTTGTTCCCTTCCAGAAAGGGGTCCCATCTTCCCTAGCTTTCCTTTTAGCACTGACATGCCTATAAAAGTTTTTCTTGTTACTCCTGATGTCCCTGGCTAGATTTAATTCTATCTGGGCTTTAGCTTTCCTAACCTGGTCCCTGGCTTCTTGGACCACTTCCTTGCATTCTTCCCAGTCTACCTGTCCTGTATTCCACTTCCTGTAAATTCCCTTTTAAGTGTGTCCACATTCTTGCCTACTTTCCTCTTTTTTGGAATGCAAATCATAGAAGAGGGTAGTGATGGCTGTATTGCAGACCTCCTGTGGTCAGATAACACATGATCTAGGAAAGTGGAAGGCAAATTGAAGAAAGAATTATAAAAATAAAACAGTAACTTAGGTCAAAAATAAGTCTAATCTACACTATTAACTCATCTGTAGATAGGTAGGTTGTAATAATTTTGTCTTTGAGAACAAGTGCTGTAAAAAATAAAAAGTTTCAGTTATTGTTACAATGTGAAGGATCTCAAAAAAAAGAAAACAAAACCACCTTAATGATTTTGGCCTGAATAACCTTGTAATGGCCTTAAAAAACCCCAAGTATTGAAGGAATAGTCTAAGCATCAGTAAGCTATGCTCTATATAACTATTTCACAGCAGGGTTTCTGAGAACAATCTACGTTCTACGTTATTGTCAAGGGGCCTAATGCTGTTAAAATAGCCAGAAGCTTTACTTCAGTTGTTCAAGTTCACAAGGATCTAAACCAGTTATTTTTAAAGTAGAGTTATGGAATTAATCTCACTAACTCCTGACCCACAGCCACAGAGCATGGTGATGATGAGCAGAGACTACAGGGAGAGAGTAAAAGGAAAAAAAAACAACCAACCAAAAAAAAAAAAACAACAAAGGAAAAACCCCAAAGAGCGAGTAAAGCTAAATATAAAAAGTACCGTCCCACACAAGAAACAAAGATGGCATCTGCCAGTTGAGAATTCAAGCAGTTTGCTCTGTGGCTTCAGAGATGACGGTGATGCAGAATGAATCTGAGGAGCAGCAGCTGATAAAACAATTCCTCTTTAGGTTACTTTTTAAAAAAAATACACGGCACCCTCAAAGTACAGCCGACTGCTGGGAGGCAGGATGATTCACCGGGCATGCACGGAGGGGTGTTATCACGAGAGCTGCAGCTTGTTTCTAGCCTCGGTTATGACCTTGGGATGGACGTGTTGCTTTTCATGCCCTCAGTTACAAACTGAAGGTGTCTGTCTCCCGAGATCTACTCACGAATAGTGCCAAGTTATTCAAATTATAAATGGGAATGAGTAAGAGAATGTGTTGTTTCAGAAAATACCATATACCGTTTATTAATGGGTTTGATTTATTGCCACAATTTCTCTTTTGCCCCCAAAGGTCTGGTTCACACACTACGGGTATAGCAGAGAAAAGCCGAAATCTCATGATATTACAAAAGAACTTCAGTTAAAAAAAAACCAAAAAAAGGGAGGGAGAATGGAAGAAAGGCTAGGTTTTGACGGTTTCTGATAGTTTGGCAGAAGCACAACTACAATTTTGCAATAGAGCGGTACCAACTCTACAGGAGAACTGATAGCATTCTTTATTGCCAAAAGAAAATTGCCAGTGCTACCAAGACCCATTAAATGCTCGCACCTTGTGATCAGAGGTACTCCGGTGCATACGCATGCGTATATACGCGTGGTGTTGTACAGAGAATTTTTCTCTTAGCTTCTGTGTGCTTTTTCTGGAGAACTGCTCATCCTGTGATTTGCCAGAAGCAGCCAGGAGGATAGTTTAATCCTTGCTGTTACAAGACTGTCGAACAGATGATTTCTGATGCTCCAACAACGTGATTGACTTTTCAGAATTTTCCAAGTTTCTGAGCAGAGTCTCTAGTCGCCTTTTGATTTTCTTCTGATCCTCAATGGCACATCCGATTACCACAGACTGAAATTTCTGATCGATGGGTCCCGCTGGCACGTCAGATGTGCACGCACCGTAAAGCGACATTAAGCGGATTTTGGCATCTTCCAAATCGTCTAGAAGTTTATTGACTATTTCATCGATCATCTTTGTGGCATGCAGTAGGGTTTTTTGGCATTTCGGATGGTTTCTACGGAAACCTCCACAGTGAGGGTTCGGCCCATCAGACGATTAGCGGTCAAATTAAGTTCTTCTCTCTCACCTGAATCGAAAACAAGAGAGCGTTTTAGGTTACAGGCAAGTACCTTCCTGTGCAAATGGCATCATCGAGACAGTCAAACTGCCAAAACTTTACAACAAACAAAGTGCGGATTTTAAGTGACAATCAACAAGATTTCAATTGTGTTCGGTTTTGGGCTCCCCAGTTCAAGAGAGATGGAGACCTACTGGAGAGAGTCCAACAGAGAGCTACGAGGATGATTAAGGGACTTGAACATCTCTCCTACGAAGAGAGACTGAGAGAGCTGGGGCTGTTTAGCCTTGAAAGGAGACGGCTGAGAGGCGACCTTATTGACGTATTTAAATATCTGAGGGGTGGGTGTCAAGAAGAAGGGGCCGCTCTCCTTTCGGTGGTGCCCAGTAACAGGACAAGGAATAATGTGTATAAGCTAGAACACAGGAAGTTCCACCTCAACACGAGGAGAAATTTCTTCACTGTGAGGGTGACGGAGCACTGGCACAGGCTGCCCAGAGAGGTTGTGGAGTCTCCTTCTCTGGAGACTTTCAAAACCCACCTGGATGTGTTCCTGTGTGGCTGCCCTAGGGCAGGCTCTGGCAGGCGGGTTGGACTAGATGATCTTTAGAGGTCCTTTTCAACCCCGAACATTCTATGATTCTGTGATTCTCTGATTTCCAGGGGCCAGAAATTAGTTTTTTGCACTTGCCTAAGGCCTACATAATTTCACAGAAGCTGGCGCCTTTGATTTGAAACGAGGCATTAAGCTCTACTAAAAATGTAAGCAATGATTTTTTGCTGCTGACACAATGCTTGCTGCGTCACATTAAAGGAAAGCATACAGTATTATCAGGAAATATGATTCATTAACAGAACTGGCATGTTAAAGACCTTGCGTGCCACTGTGAGGAAGAGATTTAGACAGTACCTCAAGAGGCCGTGAAGAGAAAATTGATTTCAGACTGCCAGACACAATTAGGGGACTTGAGAAAACCTGGTTTCCTATTTTCTAAAAACTTACTTTTTCCTAAACTATGTACACAACATGTTTGACATGTACGCTCTTGAAGAGCCAATAAACCAGCTATTTGAAGGATGTACTATAAAGCATACAAATTTAAGGAATATATTTAAAGCCATATATCACACAAGGATGACAACAGTCTTAATCACCAGGCTCTTGCAGGCTCTACACTTTGTAGCACTCATGCTTGTCCAGTAGCCAAAGCCATCAAAATGCTGGATTTTCAACTATATTTAATCATCACCAACAACTACTCTCCCTCAGCTGAGCTACATAAACCTTGATTTTGAAAATAAATCACAGAATCACAGAGTGTTAGGGCTTAGAATGGACCGCTGGAGATCATCTAGTCCAACTTCCCCACCAGATAGGCGATTCTATGATATGATATGATATGACACGATATGACACGATATGATATGATAGGATAGGATATGATATGATACGATACGATACGATACGATACGATCCAGAGTAGGCTGCACAGAGTGGTGTCCAGGTAGGCTTTGAAAGTCTCCAGAGACAGAGACTCCACCATCTCTCTGGGCAGCCTGTGCCAGTGCTCCGTCACTCTCACAGTAAAGAAATTCCTCCTCACGCTTAGACAGAACTGAGTAGGCGCTTTCATGTACACAGTAGTGACATTCATGGAGATTTACACAGTCGAGAAAAAGGGATCCTCACCTTCGCTGATATGCCTCATATCCTGGCTGTTCTGTATGTTGTGGATCATTTCTAGCAGGATTTCTTTCTCTTGTTCCATAGCAGATGCTGCGTCACGGAAAGCCTCTACCCTGGACACGTTGAACCAAGCAAAATGTTTAAATAATAAAATAGCTGTTCACCTATATAGCTGCCAAGAACTTTTTTTAAACTTCAGCTTAAGAAGTACAGTCGGTTCTTAATTATCCATCAGCCAGACTCTCTGATTTCATGACCTTCTCCCATATCTTAACTTCACTTTTTAAGAAAACAAATGAATGCGGGGGGGGAAAACAACAAAACAACAGTAATTCAAGCATACTTAACTCTTTTATTTTACTGACAGTGCTGTTCTAACCTACTCCACGGTTGGTCTGAATATCCAGAGCCTGATGGTACTACAGCCCTGTAGCTAATTGGCAATTATTATCAGCTGCTTACCTAGGAAAGAAACAGACTGAGTTCCCAAAAGGAAACTTGGGGGTGAGGGCAGAAGTTGCAGGGATGGAGGCAGCACCGGGGCCCTGGCTCCCCCACTGCCCCCACACTGGCAGTGCAGAACCCCTATAGCCCACCTGTAAATCAAGGAACACTCCGGAACACTCAAAACTCCACCTTGTAGCCAAATGATCCCCTTTATGAGTGAGAAAAAAGGGCGAGAGAGACAAAGCTCACACATTTTTATTAAGGTGACGAGGGTTTCCCCGCTGAGCCACATGCCTGGGTTGCGGGGAGAAGGTGCTGACCACCTGTCCCCACGCTCACCGGGGTTCTCCACGGAGTGATGCTCGCCGCATGATTCACCCGAGGAGGAAGCTCCTGTGGGAGCTGCTCCTATTTCTGGGCTTGTAGGGAAGCATGAAACTTGGTTGCTCTTAAACAAGGAGCCCTTCTTCAGCCCTTTTCACTGCGCTAAAACTCACACGTGATGTGGTGAGGGCAAGGGGAAAGCCCTGCTCTCCCTGACCGCTATGAAGCCACATGGTTTGTGGGCTCACAGGCTGCTCTCCTCCTGGTGGCTGAAGGGACAGGCTCGGCTGGCCACGGGCAACATGAAACTGCCACACTAGAAATCCAAGGTCCTTAATTCACGTCTTACATCCCACCACGGTTTTAAGGAGGGGGCATTCGCATTCAGCAGAGTAATATGGAAAAGCATATCTGGGAACTGTCTACTTTGGAGACCGGGGACGAGAAGGAAATGTCCCCCTCCCTTGGCTTTGCCCTGGAGTCCTGACAGCACGGGCTCGCAGAAGACTTGCCAACCAGCTGCAAGAGCTGCACCAAAAACCCTCCACTCGGCACTCCTAGACCCCAGGGAAAAGCAGAATGTCCCACGAACCCGGCTGACAGTTTCGGGTGCTTTCAACACACCGCTCGGGAGGTCCAGCTGCTATAAGCAGCCCAGGAACTTGTCTATCCTGAAATGTTTATTAAAGCTGGCCAGAAAAGGGGAAACAAACCGAAACACCATCAAGTCTCTCAGATGCTTTGCGTTCTTCAAGGTTACTGGGCTCAGCCTAGAGATGATGGTGGCTCGCAGCGACTTCTGTCGCCGAGGGCGTAGCTCCTCAGATCGGTACGGAGCTGCTGCTCCTGCCTCTAAGGCTGGCTGGGGGCAGGTAACTTCAGACAGACAGCAGGAAGAGCAAGGAGGGCAAAAGAAGGCAGAACAGGGGCATCTGAGGATAGAAATAGTCACACTTTGCACGCAGCCTGCTCACGAAATGGTTCTGTCTTACAAAATATTTCACCTAATTTAGTCAGTGAAAGCATAAGCTTTGGGCCTTGCCTTTAATGTTCATTCTGAGGAGGAGTGGGAAAAGCTAATGCAATGCAAATTCTTGCCGAGAGCAAATACTTTTAATTATTATTTTGGACTGGTTAGTAAGAGCAATGAGGCAGGTGGAGTCACTTCATACTTCAGATGTCTGCACTTTATAATTTAGGAAGTCTAGCAATATTTTCATAAATGCCTCACCATGCCTTTTGTAAAAAAACTCAAGCAAATAAATTAAAAAAACCCACCACTCACCATAACTAGTATTTTGACCATTTAAAAAACGCATTGTGGTCCCTAGAAAGCTTAACATAAAAATCTGGAAACACAGCACTTTGCTTTTAATGGTGTTTTTACATCAGATTCAGTATATCACCGCACTGACTTAAAAACTAAAGGTCTGCCCTCAGCAGATGGATCAATCCATGATGTCCACAGGTTTTGCTGGGTCCTGTGAAGAACATGGAAAAAAATTGCACTGCAGAGATGTATCCTGAATTGGTGTGATTCTAAAGAGAGTGCCTAAAACATCACCGCTTCCTCACTGGTATCTGAGGTAGAACCTAAAAGTCAAATTCTGAAATTATGAGTATTAATGATTGCACGTTGCAAACTAAAAATCGTTTACCAGTTAAAGACTCAGTTGGCGCTATTTTACAGAAAGTCACATAACCAAATCTCGAGAACTATTTTAATTGCAATAATTGCTTCTCGGGAATTATTTTAACCGCTTTTTCAACTGCGACATAGGGTGTCGCACAACTAAAATCCACCGGGATTTTAATTTTAGCATACCTGCTTCCATAAACGGCAGTCAAATGAGGGCCTACCCCGGCGCCGCGTAACGGCACGTGAAGGAGGTGCAGTGGCTCCTGACACGGGGCCAAAGGGACAGGGAAGCAGCACGTCAGGATTCCCCAACCCCTCTGCTATCCCTTCCAAAAATTTCCATCCTGACCAGTTATTACCAAGGGGTGACCATCTCACCCTATTTTGCTGCCTCAACGCTGGGGTGGGTCCCACCAGCCCCTCCTGGCCTCCAGGTCACAGAGAGACCCCGGCCCCAGCAGGATCTTTCCCTCCCCACTCGCTGCAAGAGTGTTGGGTTTATACCTCTAGTGACTTCTTTCACAAAATGCGCTTTAGCTTCACAGGTTTGTGTAAGTCCACGCTTTTTTGGGGTGGGGGACAAAAAAGCAACGAAGAAAACAAGGAGATAACCCTCTAGCAGAGGTGAATGCCGTCCAAAAGGGGGAGAATACAATCCCTACTCTCAACAAACCAGCCAACTGAAGAATAGAAGGCAAAGAAAAGAGAGCTTAAATACTCCTATTTACGCCCTATTATCAATTATCTCAATGCAGCAGTATGATTTCTTCCTAACAGTCAAAAACATCCTACCATCTTTTCACATGGAATGTATCTGTCACTTTGAACATTACCTAAATAGTCCATCCATTACCTACGTCTAAAAAAACATTCCTTACTTCTGATTCTCCTCCTGTCCGAGGGTGATTGGCCGTGCAGTGCCTTTCTTTCCTACATACCATTTCCATGAGCAGAGCATTCCCCCGAGGAACAGGTGGACCAGCCTGCACTTTTGTTTCCAGATGAGAAACTCGATACCCGCTTTCTTACGACAGCTGCTATAACTCTGTCCTTTAAACTACTGACCAACTTAAATAGCTCCCTATGGAAGCTTGCGCACTGGAGGAGCAGATAAGTTTTCAAAGGAAATAAGAAACATCTGAAGACGGTGCAGCTTTTCTTCGTGAAACAGAACTGAGTGCACTGGATGGAAACCAAGCAGGGGGTTTCACCCTGGCATCCTCAGCTGCTTGAGCGGAGTTTCCGTTCTCAGATGAGAAGTGCCCATGAATGTACAAACAAATGGTGGAGCAATATGGTTGTTCCGAAGGAGAACAGGGAAAAAAAATACAAAAAAATAAAGATTTAAAAAAAAAAAAAAAGATTCTGACTTATCTCATGTATCCTAACACCTAGGACTGTGTGTTCACAACCACTAGAACACAGTGACTCATGAACAGAGACTCTGGTCCCGCTTCCAGCTGCTCCCGAGGTGTTCTGGCATTCACCAGCGGGCAGGGCAACACAAAGGTCCAAGCCCTTACAAGGGACAAACAAATGTGCCACCTGCCCCACTTGCCACCTCTGCCCAGGGACTCGCACCCCAGCAGTTAAATTAACCCCCCTTTCCCACTCACTCTGTCTACAGAAGAAACTCCGTCCACAAACTCCCAGCAGGGAGGTACAAAAATACTCTGTCCCTGTTGGGAAAAGCACCTCTCGTGGTAGAAGGGAAGGGAGAAAAGGGAAGGCTGCTCAAACCAGAGCATTTCCAAGTTGCCTCAAGGTTCAGCCAATCTTAACCAACTGAAGATTTGAAGATTATTGAGGGGCTTAATTAGAGGCTGTAGTTCACTTTGACAAATTTTCACTTACTATATTTGCAAGCAACATCTCAAAGATCTACAGCTAAACTAAACCATCTGGAGAGGGAAGAAGTGTGGAAGCTCTTCCTCCTGCCATTCAAATAACTTTGAAATGAGGCATGTTGATTAGTTATGCACAGAAAGAAGTAAGACTTGAGTGACTTTAATCAAGGTAGTTTGCCTCCTTTTTCCTAACTGTTCTGCATTTAGAACTGTGCCTGTCTGAAAGACGCAGAGCAAACTGTGAATTTTAATTTGGTGTTTAATTTCTGGTTAACTAAACTGCCTGCTTTGTTTCAGAGTTGCTCAGCAGATTTAAAACACAATTTTGCATATACTGCTGCTCATTTCGTGATTACACATTCATGCGCTAGACCTGGATGCGAGCAGCAAGACTTGTTTGCAGACAGTGATTTTGTTTAATCAAATTCAGAGAAGCCTGCAAAGGACTTCAAGGAGCTTTAATCAAGTGAAAGGCTGATATAATAGCACATAAAGTCCACTCCTGAATAATGCAAACTAATGCAGGCAGAAAGGGGGAAATGCAACTCCTGTATCCCACAGAGCTTTCTTAATTACAGGAAAGTCCTAGAAACATTCGGGGTGGTTCTGTGAATGCTGCTGATCAATATGCAGCTGTAATGAAGGAAAGGGTGTGTTGAAACAGTCCCGGCAGGAGGCGAATCAGTGGGACACCTCTGGCACCCTGCGCATCACATCCATCCTCCTCAGGACGGACACTTCGTAATTAGGCAGAGCTGGGAGGATGAGGAAGGTGATTAAAGGCAAGGGACTGTCTCTCAGGCGGCCAAACTGGGGGTAAAAAAAGAGAAAAATAATAAAAAAAAGTCAAAGGGGGAACGCCAGGTAGCAGGAGGAGGCGGGACACACCTTGGCGCACGGTGACAGGCGCAGGGCACTGG